CCCCCAATCCCAAAATGGCTGGTCAATAGTGAGCATTTTCATCTTGTCCTGTTTTTCATTTCTTCTGTAGTTTCCTTGTTAACTCTGAACTCATTCTCTGCTTTTAATAAGAGGCAGATTATTACAAACTCAGAATTCTCTTAAAAATTCTGTTTTCTGAGGAGTAACTGTGATTGTTGGTGCTGTTATTTTTTATAAAATTTCTACCTAAGTCTAATTTAGGAAAATAATTATGCTTTTAATGCTCAGACACTTCAGTTAAAGGTTTGGGGTAGGGGCTAGAAAAATACTGGCATTTCCTCTTACTTAAATTGATTGCCCCAGGCTGATCTGTGTATTGTTTTCTCTCTCATCTTCATGACCCCCTCAAGTCTCCCTGTGCTCCTTTTTTTGCCTAGGGCACATATGTTTACACTTGAGGCTGTCTGTGTTTTTGCATATCCACTTTTCCATATTCTCCCTTCCCAGCCTTACATGTAGTTCTGCTCATTAAGCCACCTGACTAGAAAAAGCAGGGAGAACACGGATTGGGAGGCCTCTTCGAGGTTTTGCCCACTCTGAGCACCAGAAGTTTGGGACATTCAGTTTATCTGAGTCTTTTGGGGGGTTTTCTTTTAGAATAAGTCTTTCAAGAAACACAACTTTTTAAAGGAAATTAAATCCAGAGGCAAATGCATCAGGTTTTCATTTGGTTGTTGATTTGCAGGATGCTAGGTTTCTTCATCTCCATTCTTTAGATAATAATGGTCTTTTTTCTCACCTCTTATGAACACCTACCATTTGACCTAAAAGTTTAAATCTTAAACTCTTAAGCCTTAAAACTTTAGAAAATTCTACAAATGCAGTCCTTCAAGACCTAATTCACTTAAAGCCATGCAAATATAGAGGGTGTTGATTTAGATATGTAATCTTGACTCTTTTCATCACCATCAGCACCAGCTCTCCAGCCAGTTTTAGTTAGCTTCTCTGCATATATTGTGTTAATATGAATAACCTACTTCCAACAATAAAAACAATAAAATAAATGAGCACCAATTAATTCCATCTGTTTTTTGAGTAACTGTGTGTGTGTGTGTAATGAATTGATTTATATCAGAATTATTTCTGGAATGGTAGGCTGTCCATTGGAACCTTATTTGTTACACCATCCTTTGAGTTTTATTGGAAAACTCTGAGATTTTTGTCTAAATGTACTTGGACTTACCATTTTATCAAAGACAAACATTTGTGTCTTTTCAAAAGAAAGCACTATAATGCCTATATTACCACATACTCATGAGGTGGATATCAGAAGGATATCCAAAAAGTTAGGGAGACCCTGTCTCAACAAAACAAGCTGGGCATGGAGGTGAATATCTGTAATCCCAGCTATGTGGGAGGGAGGCATAGATATGAGAATCTGTCCAAGCTGGCCCTGCACAAAAGCATGAGACTATCTGAAAAATAAAAAGCAATAAAAGAGCTAGGAGCATGGTGTGATTTAAGTGGTAGAGTGCCTATCTAACAAGCAGAGGCCCTGAGTTCAAATGCTAGTACTGCCAACAAACAAATAAATAAATAAATAGTTCCAAGCAATTCCTCTAGGAAAACTTTAATAACAAAACAAATACTTAATTAGCTTGAACATTATTGACTTTGTTGGGCTATCATCAAAGAGCATTTGATCAAACAATTTCCTATCAGTTACTTATTTATATACATGTATATTTTTTTTTTCTAAAGGCAACATTTTTAGTTGTACAAATATCCTTATGTCCTTTCTCTTGGAAAGTTTTGACACTTTCTTGCCTCAGGGGTATGTCTTATAGTTGAGGTTAAATCCTGAGGAAGTGAAGATCTTATTGAAAATACTGACAGAATTTAATCCAAAACAAGGTGTTACTTGAATTGAGGTTCATGCGGCCTGGCACTCAAAGACCAATATTTGGGAGCTGAGAGTTGGTAGGAAAGAATCAGGCTTATTCAAAGCCATCCCTGAAGAAGATGGAGGAGCTGCTTCTTTGGGAACTTAGGGGTATAAAGGGCTTTTTTTGGGGGGAGGAAGAGGAGCAGGGTAGGAAGACTTTGTACTTATTGGGGGTCTTTGTCATCTAGAGGGTGTGTCTCCTTTTTTTTTCCCTCCAGAACATTGCAATGGACTTTAGTCTTCTGGGGCCTGCTCCATAGTTCTTTTCAGACAGACAAATTCATTGAACTAAAGACTACAGGAGGACATGACACAGGCCTTCAGATATTCTGGGTCTGGTAAATCTAAAGAAAAAATATTTAGCAGTTAACCTCTTGAGCATTTAGGTCTCCTCTTTAGAATTTAGAATGCTGGGCAAAAAGGTGGGGCTGTAAACCTTCCGAAAGGATTAGGAAAGGGAAAGGGAAAGGGAGGAGGAAGTGAAAGTTCCCGCCAAGGATACTTTCCCAAAGAGTCTTTCCTGATCCAAACGCCTGCAATCCTAGCTGCTCAGGAAGCAGAGATCAAGAAGATCATGGTTTGAAGCCAGCCCTGGCAAATAGGAGAACCTATCTCGAAAATATCCAACACAAAAAGGACTGGTGGAGTGGCTCAGGGTGCAGGCCCTGAGTTCAAACCGCAGTACTACAAAAAAAAGCCAAAGGGAGGGATGAGGGCAGGGTGAGCAGAACTTTTGTAAAATTAAAAATTATATTCTAAAGTGAATGATTTCCTAATGGGCCCTGTCAAATGTGCCCTGGAACTGACATACTAAGAAATTTAGAAATCACTAGAAATTTTAAAGCAAGAGAGAGTTAAGGGGGCAGGATTTTGAGTTTGAGGCCAGCCTGGGACACCTGAGAAGCTGTGGCTCTAAATAAAAACAACAAAAAAGAAATAACCCAACATTTAATCTTTTCCTATAGAAATTTCTACTCCGCCTACTCTAGTGAGCAAAGGATTTGTTCCTTCGTGGCTGTTTTGCACTTTTATTTGCTTGAATTTGTAATGCCATAAAGGCAGCATTTGATCATGACTGTGTCATGGAAGACAGAGTTGCAGGCGTGCTTAGTTCAGCTCCTGGCACATCTAGATGGCACAATTCCTGCGGCTCCATGTGAACCCCCAGGCTTGGAACCCTCATGGAAAGTCTGTGTTGCTAAATGCTAAAGTCAACTGGAGAGTTACAAAGAGCTCTTTGAAAGACTAGTTCAATTATTTATTAGCACTGTCAGAGTACGCTGTCAGGCAAGATAGTATTTGAAATTAATATACTATTTGATTAGACTGATTGACCGTTCCTACACCTGAAGATTTTAACATTCATTAGCCATGCAAACTGGTCATTAGTACTTTCCTTTATCAGCAAGCAAAGAATAAACAGAAATTCTAATAAAAATTCATCACAGTAAATGTACTCCCTATCTAAGTGACTGTGATGACTGCTGGTGTACTAAATTAACTGCTATAACATTGGCAGCAGGAAAGAGTTCTGTGAGAAAAATTTGAAAATATTCCTTAATTAAGGCTTACTTTGTAATTGGACTCTTAAACTTAAGTTGGCTCTGCAGATAATCTCTTACATATCCAGTATAATAAGGCCCTAATGGGTATTTTATACTTACCGTGTTTGGTGGTGTCCTTTAATTATTAGTTTCAGCAAGGATTGAGGGCTTTAGGAAAGTTCTGCAAATGTGTTCCAGGTGAAGCTTTCTTCCCACTACTAAGGAATAAATCATCATGCCCTGTTTTTCAACCAGACAATTGAAAGAATTCTGACTTGAAATGTAAAAATGCAGACCTGTTATTGGTGTGACACCTCTCTACTTCTCATGTCATGAATCCTGTTTGGTTTTAATAGCAAAGGATTTGGAAGGAATGGTGAGAAGGAAAGAATGAGGTAGGCAGGGAGAGCCCTTTATGAACTGACTCAAGGCCACTCTGGAACAATTCTACATGCAGTAAGGATTACAGCTACCTAATATTAACTACTTCCTCAGCACTCTGCAACTATTAGCTCAGTTAGTACGCTCTTCCCACTTTACCTATGATGAGATTGGTGCTCAGCAAAAGCAACTTGGCCAAGGTTGTGAAGCAGGTAAGCAGCAGAGCCATGCATAAACTGAACTGCAAAGTGCTGTTTGTGTTTTTGTGTGTAGATGGACCTGTTAGAGCCTGCATTACTAGTATCACCTTTCTTGGCTGTAGCATAAAATCAGACAGCTGGAGAGTAAGTAAAGTTGGAAAGGAATCTGGACAGGCTGGAGGAGCCCCTCTACCTACTGTGTCCCAGAATGCATCAAGTTCTACCTAAGTAGGGTACGACCAAGAGGTCCAAGGAAAGATTAAGAGTCTTAAGTAGATGGGTAGAGAGCAGAGGCTACTGCATCCTTGGAAGTCAGGAAAAGTTTCAAGTAGCTATTTTTCTGGGGCTGAAGGAGTACCAGAAGAGGAGGCTCTGCCTGTAGGAAATAGAGGCAAGACTGACAGTAGTGAGACCAGTTAACAAGAATCAGAATGAAGTCTCTGACATAACAGAGAGAGGATGGGAAAGAGAGGGACTATGATTAAGAAATTGCTCTGGAACACTCAAGGTCAAGGAAGGAGTAGTTCAGGAAACCAGTCAGTGTTGCTAATCTTGGGTCTGACTGGAAGCAGGGCTAAGTGTTAAAGAGGTAGAGCCTTGAAAGGGAAGAGGAAGGAACAGACGTCTGATCAAGAGCCTCTGGTCCATAAATGGCTCTACAAGGTGGCTACAACCCTATTCTAAGTCCCCAGGTCAGAGGTGGTTCAAATAGAGAACCCAGAAGTAGTGGCAAAAGGGAGTTTGCCTTGTGTGGCAACAGATAGTACTACAATAATCTGATAGTAAACATACCTTTAGTGAGCATACCTTCATGTGCCTGAAAGTTTTATCTTTGCCTTATCTAAGATTTAAAATGTAGAACAATCAATAGGAAATGGTTAATTCCATAAATTACCATTTTACTATAATAATCATATTTTAATATATGTTGTTGCCATCAGTGATAAATTACTACTGATAGAAAAGCATATCTCAGTAATTTTTGGATGTTATTTCTGAGAGGAGTAGAGTTGAGAATTCCGCTACCTTTCAAATCCATGCTTGGGATAGTTTTATTTCCTAACTCCTCTAAGAGATTCTGAATGGATAAAATTTTCCTTCTTATGTTCATGAATTCTTCTTTTTTTCCCCTCTTCTATCTAGGAGACTTTGAATGTGATTGATCCTGGCTTGATGGATCTAAATGGGATGAATGAGGATGCCCTGGAATGGGATGAGACAGATATAAGTAACAAGTTAATTAGTTTGAATGAAGAATCAAGTGACCCTGATCAAGAACCCCAGCCTGTCATGCCTTCATTAAAGCCTGAAGAGATGAGCAGTGAGGACCCTGGTTATGAGGAAGAGGGAGGTGACCATGGGAGATCACAGTATGCTTCAAATGTCACTGCACCCTCCAGTCCACACATTTACCAAGTGTACAGTCTTCACAACATAGAGCTCTATGAAGACAGCCACATGCCATTTCTGAGCAGTCCAAAGTTCACTGGCATGACACAGACTAGTGTTTTAACTAAGAGTCTCAGTAAAGACTCTTCATTTTCCTCTACCAAATCTTTGCCAGATCTTTTAGGGGGCTCCAGTTTGGGGAAGGCCTGCCCATGCCACAGTGGAGACATGAGCCAGAATTCTGGCAGTGAGAGTGGGATTGTCAGTGAAGGAGACACTGAAACGACTACTAACTCTGAACTATGTCTGCTGAATGTGGTAGATGGGTCCCCAAGTAACCCTGAGACTGAACATCTGGACCCACAAGTGGGAGATGCAGTTAACGTGTTAAAGCAAAAAGTTAAAGATGAGCAGGAATGCATGAAGCTTCCAAATAGCACTCGGTCATCCATTTCACCAGTAGGTTGTATAAGTGGAAAAGTTGGAGATTTAAACAGTGTTACCAAACATACCCCTGATTGTTTGGGAGAAGAATTACAAGGAAAACACGATGTGTTTACATTTTATGATTACTCATACCTCCAAGGCTCAAAACTCAAATTACCAATGATAATGAAACAGTCACAAAGTGAAAAAGCACATGTGGATGATCCCCTTCTTCGTGGTTTTTATTTTGATAAAAAATGCTGCAAATCTAAACATCAGACTTCAGAGCTACAACCAGATGCACCACCCCATGAAAGGATTTTGGCAAATGTACCACCCGAAATGGGTCGCAGCTCATATAAAAGTGGTGATATCGAAAAGACATTCGCTGGTATTCAGAATGCCAAGCAGCTCTCCCTTTTATCTCGCAGTTCATCCATTGAGTCCCTTTCTCCAGGGGGTGATTTATTTGGATTGGGCATCTTTAAGAATGCTGGTGACAGCCTCCAGAGAAGCACTTCTTTAGAAAGTTGGTTGACATCCTACAAAAGCAATGAAGATCTTTTTAGCTGTCACAGCTCTGGGGACATAAGTGTGAGCAGTGGCTCAGTTGGTGAACTGAGTAAAAGGACATTAGATCTACTGAATCGTTTGGAGAATATCCAGAGCCCCTCAGAGCAAAAGATAAAGCGAAGTGTTTCTGATATCACTCTCCAAAGCAGTTCCCAAAAGATGTCCTTTCCAGGCCAAATGTCACTGGACATAGCATCTTCTATCAATGAAGATTCAGCAGCGTCCCTTACAGAACTTAGTAGCAGTGATGAGCTCTCTCTTTGCTCAGAGGACATTGTGCTACACAAGAACAAGATCCCGGAATCAAATGCGTCATTCAGAAAGCGTTTAAATCGTTCAGTGGCTGAAGAAAGTGACGTCAATGTCAGCATGATTGTCAACGTCTCTTGCACCTCTGCTTGCACTGATGATGAAGACGACAGTGACCTCCTCTCCAGCTCTACCCTCACCTTAACTGAAGAAGAACTGTGCATCAAAGATGAGGATGATGACTCCAGTGTTGCAACAGATGACGACATTTATGAAGAATGCAACTTGATGTCAGGGCTGGACTACATAAAGAATGAGCTGCAGACCTGGATTAGACCAAAACTTTCCTTGACAAGAGATAAGAAGCGGTGCAGTCTCAGTGATGAAATAAAGGGGAGTAAAGACATAAGCAGTAGTGAGATGATCCAGCCTTCTGACACCCTGAACATTGAGGCCCTTCTAAATGGATCCATAAAACGTCTCTCTGAAAATAATGGAAATGGTGAGAATTCATCCCATAGCCATGAGTTCGGGACAAAGGGTGAAAATAAGAAAAATATTTTCAAAGTTAGTAAAGATCCATATGTAGCAGACATGGAAAATGGCAATATTGAAAGTTCTCCAGAAAAGCAAAAGGACAAAATGAATGGGATTTCAAAGGCATCAGAAAATCATGGTTCAAATGAGAAAGAGATCTCAGAAAGTGCACATTGTAAGTGTAAAGCATCTATGGATGGTTCAGATGATTCAAATATTGCTGAAAAGAAATTTATTTCCCAAAATGTTAGATATCTTCCAAAGAAGTGTCCAAATCACCACCATTTTGAAAATCGAAGTGCCGATTGCCCTCCCACTGAGAAGTCTTGCCCAGAAATGGCTGTAGAAACTAGAGTTTACAACAGACAGGACAGTGATGTACTGAAATCTTCATCCACTGATGAACCAAGTGTGGCTGGAAAATCTGCCAGTTGCTGCCTGGCACTTGAACAAAATGAAACAGAGAAAAATGCTTCTATCAGCGACAATGCTTCCTGTTGCCACTGTGAGCCAGATGTTTTCCTTCAAAAAGATGCTGAAGATTGCTCAGTGCACGACTTTGTTAAGGAAATCATTGACATGGCTTCAACAGCCCTAAAAAGTAAATCTCAACCTGAAAATGAAGTAGCTGCTCCCACTTCATTAACTCAAATCAAGGAGAAGGTGTTAGAACATTCTCACCGGCCTATTCAGCTCAGAAAGGGGGACTTTTATTCCTACTTATCTCTCTCATCTCATGACAGTGATTGTGGAGAGGTCACCAAGTACGTAGAGGAGAAGAGCAGCACTCCATTGCCACTGGACGCTATCGACTCTGGCTTAGATGACAAAGAAGATATTGAATGTTTCTTTGAGGCCTGTGTTGAGGAGGACCCTCATGAAGAGGAGCCCTGTTTCTCTAGTGCTCCTCCAAATGAACCTGCAGCTCCCAACGAAGCTACAGTGCCACTACAAACAACAGCAGGCTCTTCTGTGCTCCGTGATATTTCTCTCTTAGTCGATGATGCTGATACGATGACTCTTTCAAGACCTCCCCCTCAGGACAAAGTTGGAAAGGAAGCAGATGATTTGTTCCAAACTTCCTGGGGCTGTGAAGAAAGTTCAGAGCTTACTCCTTCAAGGCTAGGGAATAAAAAGGAAAGTTCAGGAAATGCAGCTGAATCAAGAATGCCAGAAGAACATAATGCTACTTCAGCTGAATGCAAAGTTCAAGACCTCTCCTTGAAGGCAAATCAGCCAAAAGACAAGGATGCACTGCATCCCAGCCCCCAAAGCTTAACCTGTGAAGAAAATCTTGTGAGCTTTCATGAGGAACAGCATAGAAATATGCACAGGTAGAATGTAACAAACCCCCAAGCATGAACATCTCACTGAAAGGTATGTATAAGTCCTCGTGTCCTATGTTATACTTAAAATATGGGTTTGCATCAACAAAACCATAGTAGAGGAAAAGACCAGTTAGAACGATCAGTCATAGCAGATATTTATCTGAATAAGACATTTGGGTAGAAGAAATAATTCCAACAATGAAAGTAACCATGAAGTAAAAGGGGGAAAATGCAGTGAAAAATTGACATTTTTAGTGACATTATCTTTATTCCATCATTCTGGCAAGAAGAATACAAAATTTGAGAAAGTAGCCAAACAATTTAGGGTTGCACGTTCTTCTACTGAGGGTTGAAAAAAGGGTTATCCAAGTTGCAGTGACCACAGTGTAGGCACAGTAGCAACACTCTCCATTCCAGTTCCTACGCAGAGCTGCCCATTCCCTTCAATGCCTGGAGATGAGCGATGATTGAGCTAGTCTGCGTCTCCTTGTTTGGACCTTCCTTTTGTGCTTCTGTATGATGTAGCTATCATCACATTTGCTTCCCCAGTGGAAGGCTGTGCTGTCACAGCTCCCAATCACGGCCATGTCTGAGAATTCAAATAGGAGGGGAAGTTGATGGTAAAGAAGAGGCTCTTATTTATCCACACAAAGATTGAGAACAGGCACAGAAAGCCAATGCAGAGAGCTTGCATGACAAGTTAATGTCGTCTTGATAAAAACAGAATTTTTGAATTTTGCCTGAAGGTGACAGGCTGATTTCCATCAAATTTTTTTTAAGAAAGTCATTCCACTCTTCATATTTAATAAGACAGCTATTGATTGATAATTCTGAGATGGTGATGTATCTCTAAAAATGACACAAAGGTTCTCTTATTTCCCATTTCTAAGCCTCAGTGATGAATATGTTTTCTCAATCAAGTTTGAGGAAGAAAATTTGAGCTTTCATACATGAGAGTCGGATCTCACCAAAGAACGAGGTGCCTAGTGCCTCCTCCACCCCCACACAGAAGCCTAATGCCGTAACCTAAACTCGTGCTATAGGAAATGAATTACAGAAGCAATCTACCCTAATTTGTTAACTTATTCAAATAACAGTTATTATACTTAACTATGCTAAAGATTATCTTTTTTGTGGCAGATTGTTTATTTTTTGATGAGCCTAATTACTGATTTTCTAAAAGTAATTTACATTTATTACAAATACATCTTTTAAAATGTGACAGATAAATGTTGTTCCCATAATGTATTATGAAAAAAGTTACTATTTAAAAACACATTATTTAATTTGAAAGATGAATGGCAAACATCATTACTTTTTTTTCTGCAACACCTGTGCCCTAAGCTCATTAAAATGTGTGATTCTGTGTAGAGTTGTTAGAAATGGGGAGTAAGAGGGGATCTATACCATATATACCCTAAAAATAAACTCAGTATGCAAAACCAAAGAAAGCATCCCACTTACTAATATAGCACAACTAATTTTCTGTGTTTCAGACTCTATTTACAATTGCTCCAAGAGAGAACAAAAGTAGGAGAGAGAGCAATGTATTTTCTGTGAGCTGTGTCCACCCTATAATCACACTCTCCATCAGTATGCAGTAAAACTGGCCATTAAGGGAGAGTGACTGCGATTCCATAAGCTGCATCAAAACAAGTTCTATTAGAGCTGATTGTACCATGGGCTCTGCCAATCTCCACAGAAGGACTGGTAGAGCCTGGCTGATTTTGTTTTCTGAAAGGGGATAAAGGCTTGAAAGGAACACCACTCTGAGCACGACATCATGGGACCATGACCCTCAAGTCACCAGTCGTGCTGAGATCCGGAGCTGAGAAGCTCTGGCACTGGAGCAGCCTCCAGGATATCCTCTCCCTTTTTGATCCTCTGGGAGTTTCTTCTCTCCCTTTCAGAGAAACAGAATTGAAATGAAATGTAAATGATGGGCTGCTCCATCTTCAGACATGAGGGAAGTGAATGTGCAGAGACAGTGTAACAATATCAGCTAGCCTGCCTGCCAGCCAGCAGTGTTTTGTTGAGCCTCCATGTTGCCTGGCCCTATCCTGGGAAAGGGAGGAGCAGCCTGATTCTACTTCTGCAGAACTTACATCGCCCCCAAGTGACTTGTTATCAGTCTAGAGCTATTTAAACAACCATATTTACTGGTCCTGTTCAGTCCTCTCCCCCCACCCCACCCCCACACACCTGGAACCATGTGGACAAAACATCTGGACACCTGAAATTTCCTCCAGTCATTAGCATTGGGCACCTGGGTGTAAATATTCACATATTATGAAAGTATTATCACCTGGATGAGTTATTTAATCTGAAAAGTTTGCCAAGAGTTCAGTATTTGGTGTCTGAACTTCACAGTAAAGTTATTTGGTAAATTTGAAGTTTTTTGTCTATAGGAGTTTGTTCTCATTATTATTCCTAGAGGACTAAAACAGAAAAATGAAACTCTTCTTTTTAAAGCAATTTGATTTGAAAACCATCAGTTGTGGTGCTTTTTTTTTTTTAATCAGGATGATAAAATTCATCAAATTCGATTGCTATTTTTTTTTCAGAAATAAATTCTCAGATGATTAAATGATTAGAATTCCACCCAGAAGAAATACAATTTAGAATAGCGGATACAGTTTGCAACAGTAAAAAATTTTTTTTCCAAAATTTATAAAGGTTTTTATTGACTCTGTTCTAATTAAAAACCTATCGAAATTGTTTGAGAATTGCAACAAATGTGACCGAACAGTGTGCATTTGCACCAATTTCCAGACACACTGCTGTGCTTTTCACTATTTTCATTTATGTGTCATGTTTCTATAAAAATAGAGGGGTCAGTTACAGCAAATCACATCAAAGGCAAGGTAACCAGATAGATCCAGCTTTTGCTGCCTAATTTGGAGGAAGCACGTAATGTATGTCTGGAGTGCCTCCTAGGACCTGCCTAAGAGGTGTATTTTGCACTAATCTTTTTGCTGTATTCTGACAGTTATTTCTTCATAATCCTCATCATAAGCCTCTGATCTTTGATGAATGCTTTAACCCTAAACTTCAGGCTGAATAAATCCCAGGCTATAAAAACTTAACTCATCCCACGCAGCCAGTGTGAACTTTTTTTTTTCCTTTTGGTTTGCTCTGGTGGCTTGGAGTTGTGTGTGTGCGTGCATATGTGTATGTGTTTACTTAGGATGCATATATTTGCTTTAGAAGGCTTTAGCTTTAATTGTCTTACCTACTTTATTGGTGTGTAAATGTGATAGTTTTTAGATAGACTATAGATTTTTAGATGCTAGGCAATTATTTGTATTTCTGCATGATCAAGTGTACACACACACAGTTAAAAGTGCGTCTCCTCAATTTTTACACACTGAAGAGGCTCTAAGAGTAAACATTTGTCATGAACACAACACAGATTCTCATTGTATTAATTGGATTGACATTAAGTGTTTGGTATTTCCCAAAGCTTGGTCAAGCAAGTTTAAGAAACTACCTTTGGGAATTGTGTATTAATTTTTTACTAGATAAGACAGGTACGATCTTATAAAATTTACCCTTTAAATTACTTTAATAAATCAATGTTCTGCTGGATATGTGTTTTAATTATCCAGCACTTCTGAATAACCACCCTTGCTATGCTTAAATAACAAAGATTTTATTGGATATAATCTCTCTCTCTCTCACACACACACACACACACACACACACACATACATACACACACACCAGATTTGTGCCTCAGCCAGTTTGGCCTGCCGTTTTCCAAGTGGGCCAAGTTGAAAGAATTGATTATCCAGAGAGAATTTAAATACCAGCTTTCAGTAAGAGCAGATTTGCCTCACCTAAGAATTCCCTACTCAGTGGCCAGAGTTTAGATGAGTCATGTCCTCAGCATTTGAACAATGCATCATACTTTCTTGAGTTACTGCATTATTTTAATGTACCAAATTTTGTCTCATCTGGCCCTGTCTGTCTTCTCCATTCCTGTTAACTTTTCTTCTCTCCCCAACTTCCTGTGGCTCCTGCCAAATCACTTTTTTTTGTTGAAGACTTTTGAGCTCTAAAACCCATTGCAAGGTAGTAGGAAAGAGAGACAGCAAGACAAAGAGAATGAGAACAATCAGTTCTAGAAAGGGAAGAAAACAACCTGAAATCAGACTTCAGAACTTAGTTTAAACCCAAACAAGCAAAAGCCTGCTTTATTTGAGAGCTGGTCAGAGGACCTAATGTAATTGCATCCTGCATTGCTTGAACCTGGCATTTAGAGATTCCTCACATTTGCTTTTAGCTACCGAGAAACAAACAGAACAGATCGAGTTTGGAACAAATTTGTATCGGCCATCAGATATACAAAAATAATTGAATCTGTTTTGATTCCACAATGCAATCTTGTACCTTAAATTAAACACATTAATATTTGAGCTAGAAGTCCTAATTATATCCTTTTATAGGCAAGGGGCTGAAATGTTTAGGCTGATACCAATGTTATGAATATTTCACCACTATATAACTGGAATTTTTCACTATCCCACATAAAGTCACTGAAGGAAGGATCACACGTGAGAGCCCAGGTTCTCAGTCTGTGAATATTTGGCTGCATTGCTCAGTGTGTCTCACATTTGGATTTGAAGCTTTCTTGAGTGTTCAACTCCAGTTTATCCACAAGAGTGGACAGCCAAAAGAAAAGGTCAAACTTGTTTTTTCTTGTTTTCTTTAAAACTACATCTTTTTAAAAAATGTATTCTTCACATCTATGCTGAAATGTTTTTGTAAATCATTATTTATATTTTATATATTCTTTCCTTTCAGACCATTAGCAGGTAGTCCAAAAATAGCAACTTTCCATGGTTTTTGAAAGGGTTTGGTTTTGCAAATGCAAAGGACATTTCTGAAACCTTTTCTTATCACTTTTTTTTTTTTTTTTTATAGATAACCTGGCTGTACCTAGGGGCAGGCCTCATCTTCCCGCCCTGGGCTGGTCTCTGGTTCCATCCTGTTGTCACTGCCGTTTGTCAAGTTGACTTTCTCAAGATGAATCTTCCTTCCAAATGCAGTTTGTCCACCTGGGCTTTGTGATCTGGATGTGTGCACTGGTTCTCTTTAGGTAATCGTCTTTGAACTTCAACAAAGCTGCTTGTTCTCCCATGGATTCCTGTCCCAAGCTACCTCCGCCAACCCTCTCTCTCCAGCAAGACCTTTCTATTTGCTTCCTCCCTTCCCCATCTGCTCTTTCAAGTTCTGCAGTCACCAAATTGATGGTCCATTCAACTCACTGTCTGGAGTGATCCCGTCCATGACAGCACTTGACCGATTTCATGTTTCAATCTGGATTTTTTTGATGGTATGATGCCTATGTTTATTGAAAGAGGTTTATCTAAAAAGCCAACATTTGATTTGATTGCAGCCTAAAGAAGGAACTGGTCCTTCTTTCAAAATTAAGCAACTTTTAAAAGCGCCATTCTATTTATTTTGATTTAATAATAATCTATGCAGCACTTCAAGAAACAACTATTACAGTGTTGTATATTATAAACTGGTGACGTACTACTCTTAAAATATGTACAACATTTTTTTTTATGCTTCTTGAGGTGGTAATGAGAAAAAAGTTTTTGTTTTTGTTTTTTTTTAAAAAGTGTGCCTTGCTATATTTCTTATACCATTTATCAAAAAGCTGCTTTCATGGTAAAATTATGTTGGTTTGAGAGGAGGAAATAGCAAGGTTAAGATGTGTGAATAACTTCTGTATATATGTATAACCAAGTACAAGCATTGATGTATAATGACAGTATAAAATGCTTTCATGTTTGTGATGTCTAGTGATGTGGAAAATATAAGCCTTAAGCCCATTAATTGCATGGTAATTAAAATTGGCGTAATAAAAAGAGTTCATTGGGGAAAAGGAAAATTAGTGATCTCTTTTACCTGTGTTCTTTACCAAATTGTTGTATTGGTTCTGAAAAAAGTATAACATGCAGCAGCTTCCAAAATATCCATATTGCCTAAGAGGCTTAAATTACTTAAATTACAGATGAGGTGTGAAGCCTTTATGGTTTTTAAGATCTTTCTGGCCACATAGACATCTTGAACAGCAAATGACTAAAGGCCAGCTCCCCTAACCAATAAAAATTCATACTAGATTTTTAATTTCCTCTTATCATTAATGGTTTACTGTTGGATTTCAGGGTCTCTGGTATGGCATAATTTATTTTAAATAATTCTTTTGAATGGGTTGGATAGAAAGATGGTAAAAAAGTACAGAAATAATTGACTATTATTTTCATTTAGACAAATATTTCAGGTATATTTATTTTGTGTAAAGGAAATCATCAGAGAAATATTTCATTTGGTCTTTATTGACCCTTGATAAATGCAGCTTTTAATTTATATCACAACTCCTACTAAAGTGCCTGACACAGTAGGTATTCCATAGATATTTGCAGAATTGAAGCATCAAATTAGGTAACATGATGACATGTAGCTCTTCATTTGAGAAACATACACCAAAACAAGTATGTGACTAGAAAAAGATATAAATGCAGTATAAAAACCACCTATCATATATAATCAATTTATATCAGATTTCAAAAAGGGAAAGAATGTATGGATTCAGTTAGTCAGTGAAATGACAATCGTCCACTCAGCAGATAGCTCGTTGACATCTGTTATCTGCAAGGACTGTTTTGGATTCAGGGAATGCAAAGATGAAAAGACAAAGGCCCTGCCCTTGCTGGCTCACCTACATTAGGGGTAAAGTGAATGCACAAATGATATGCGGCAGCTGTGCTGCAGGTGAGGAAGAGAACAAACATGGTGAAAGAAACAGGAGAGAAGGAAGGGTTAGGAGACAGTAGAAAGTTTGACAACAGAATGTTAGTGGGGATTTATTGCAGAAGTAATAGAAGAGGTCCATTGGAGGACTGAGTGAAGGGTCTCTAGCTGAGATAAAGCTGAGCTTTTGCGTGTGTGGGATGCTAGGTCAGTAAGGACAGCCTGTGGTCTTTGTTTTGCACCTGATTTTATTTTGTAATTAGAACTTTATTAGCCCCGAACCAAAAGCACTTAAACACTGCTTATCTGTAATTCTACCACCTTAAGAACTTTGTGTTTTTATCCCCTTCTCATCTTTCCCATGCATATTGCTAGGCTTCTGAGTGGGTAGTGATTTCTTCCAAAGGGGTCTTAGGCAGACATTTAGATGCATTGTTGGAGATGGTCCCAGGGGAAGAGATTAGAGCTAATTGTCTAGTTATGAGGCAGCTATAGTGAGTAAAGTAGGCTGAGGCAAAAGTAGCATATACAGGTGTGTTGCCCAGAAGGTAGAGAAAGAGCAATTCCTAGTCTTTGAAACACCTAAGAGTATTTTGGGCCTCTGTTGGGATAGGGTATTATTTTGCATACTGAGATAACCTACATTTTTCTTGGTTAGTTACTATTGTCAAATGTGTATCTGTTGGTAAAAATTCAAAGAATTAATTGACTGCGGTGATTCATTTACCTGTTCTAAGCTCACAGAATCTCTGGAGGTGGGAATGTATTTGTTAATTATGTACTTAGTATTACACCAAACTTTTAGATTGATTTCTAGGCTTATTGAACAATGCCATTTCCAGTTGGAAGAGATGGGATCGCCTCAATCTCACACCTCCCCAGTTACCAACTCTGTCTGCACACTTCTGTTTTGTTACCTGTTAAAGCAGACCGTTCCACTTCTGGGCCGGTCTTGTTAGAATGTACCTTCACAGCTTGCTGAACTCTGCAGAGCGCCCCCCCACCCCCATCTTTACTTTTGCTCACTGGTCCTTCTTCTGTCTTGCGAAGCACTCATGGCAGCCCCGAAGGTCATTGAGGCCAGCTCCTTATCCTCTCCCAACCACTCTCCTCCAACTGCCCCTCATATGTCATGGTTTTCAGATCCATTTCAACCTGACTGAATGTTTACAGACAGAGCCCTTGAAATTGAGGAGCTGTCTTCATCATCGTACATGTAGAGAGGTATCTGAGCATCTAAGTGATAAGTTTTCTCTAAAATATACTCAAGATATATGTTTATTCTATTATTGTAAATTTCAATAAATAAACAAAATAAATAAGAAAATAAATAAGAATCCATGACTTCCTTCAGTGGTCCAGGCCAGTGCTGGGGTCACCTTGAATCTTTTCCTTACATTGACTAAAAACCTAACCTGTTCTCTTTCCATTTATTCATTCATTCACTCATTCAACAAACATTCATTGAGTGGCCATTCATGTGAGGCGCTATGTTTGGCAACAGATCTACAAAGTCAATTGAGACATAGTCTCTGTCTTCAAAGGGCTGGCAGGTTTTTTTTGAAGTGCCTTTCATGTTCTTGAATAGAGTGGTTATGACTTTTCTCCAAATTAAATAATGACCCCATTTGCTTTGTTTCTTGTCTAGTTTCTCTAAGTTTTTCAAAAACCCAGTGAGCAAAATAGTCTGTGCAGTGATGTGGATGTGACTACAGAGGGAGGTGAAATGGTCTTAATTACAGGAAACCTTTGTCTGATTTCTGGTGACCAAATAAACATGCATCTCATACAACAAAAGAAAAATCTGAATTTTGGGCTTTTGACAACCTCAGTTTGATTATTTTGTTGTGTTTGTTTTGACCAGCTTAGAGTTTGCTCATTCTGTAATTCACAAAAACAAACTAGTTGAAAATATCAAAACAGAGTGGAATGATCCAGCTATTTTTTTTGCAGGTAAAAGTGCTTTAGTTTCCAAATGAAATTGGAATTGCTTTAGAATCTTAAAGCAGAATTAATTTTTCAAGCATCTTGCATTTCAAATATAACCTGAGCCAACTACATTTACAGCTATATCCCTTTTTTTCTCTACATGCTTTTTCAAATTTTCATTTTGATAATTTCAGACTTGTAGAAATCCCCCAAAAATAGTAGAATGACTTTTGCATGCTCAATATTCAGACTCAGTTATTTTTAGTGTTTGGCTATATTTACTGCGCCCTTTCTCTTCCTCTCTCTCTCGCTCTCTCTCTCTCTCTCTCTCTCTCTCCACACACACACACATTTTATGTGGTTGAAACATTTGAAATTGTAGTGCATAACACTTCATCTGTAAAGACTTCAGCGTATATGATCCGAGCACAGGGATATTTTTCTACACCACGTTATACATTGACACAATAATAACATCTGGTAATTCATATTAAACTTTCTCCAAATGCCCAAAGAATGTCTTTTTCAGTTACTTTAGTTTTAAACCAGGATCCAAATGAAGACCACACATTGCTTTCAGTTTTTGGGTCTTAATCTTGAGTGGTTTCCTGTGCTTTTATTCTTTTCTTTTATTCTTTGGTCTTTCACGACTTTGACATTTCTGAAGACTCCTCTTGTATAGATTGAACCACAGACTGGATGGCTGTTGTTTGCCCTTTATTAAACTGAGGATAAACTTTTTTGTCAAGTGTACACACAGGTGATGCGTTCACCTCTGTTGTGAAGAGTGAATAGGTCACTGACATTCGATGTGTCTTGAAGTTCACAGCTTACATTTTCTAAGACAGGGAAGAGCAAACTATGTCCCATGGGTCACATCCAGCCCACTGCCTATTTTTGTTTGACTGGCAGGTAAGAATGAGTTTGCATTTTTAAGTGGTTGAAAAAAAGAAACAAAAGAATATTTTATGACATTTGAAAATTACTTGCAACTCAAAATTTGGCATCTGTGAATAAAGTTTCACTGGAACCCAGCCATGTACATTTGTTTATGTGTTTTCTGCAGAGTTACACAGTGGTCTGCAAAGCCCTCCCACGGGAAAAAGCTTTCTGGCCCCTGGTCTCTGGTAGTCTCAATTCTGACACCATTTTCTTAGCAGGAGAGAAATATCAATTTGCAAAGTCAATCTAATACAGAAGATCCTGTAATGCTTTCTTTCTAGATTTTATTGCCTTCTCAATTTCAGTCCCATATTACCTTAGAAAATAAAGCGCGCTTTGTTTCATAAACTAAAAGATTGTTCCACATTCATAGTTTAAGAATTTAAGTTTAGTTTCCTGTTACTGATTTACTCAGAAAGTCAGTCAATTACAGGCTAAATAATTAGTTCAATAAAACCATCAGAAAAATGACACAACCTAAACTCATCTCAACAAACTAAATGTTTTTCTAGAGTACCCTGAGGAATTAAATCAGGCCATTACAGACTTTTTTTTTTTCAAATTTACTTTTTAACCCAAACAAAGGTATTAATTGTATATGTCACACCTTCATTTCCTGACTTCTGTTCATAAATAAAAATCTGAATGTACCAAGAAAATAAGTATTCAGTCTTCACCCCAGACCCACACCCTGCTGTGGCCACAGGTGGATACTCTTTTCTTCTTTTCTTTTTTAGGCAGTGGATTGGATCCACGGCCTCACACATGCTAGGCAAGTGCTCTTCCCCATACTCTCATTGAATAGAGGCTCAATAGAAACAGCCCTTTACTTTTTCTCTGAATTTGCCTGTGGCAGTGCTGTCACTTGCCTACTGATAGAACACTAAAGCAAGCTCTTCAACCATTTCTTTAAAAATAGCCACATACCCTCCACATAGAAATGACCTTTTCATTTGAGACTTGCCACATATTTGTGTTTCCAGAGTATATTAAGATGACACACACAAACCAGGTCCACAATAGTGAGGTTTCTTCTCTATTTTACCCAATGCCCTGAGACCATTTTGTGTGTGTATGTTTGTGTGTGTGTGTGGTACTGGGGTTTGAAATCAGGGCCTCACATTTGCTAAGCAGGCGCTCTACCACTTGAGCCACTCCACCAGTGTGTTGGGTGTTTTTTAAGATAGGGTCTCACTATTTGTCCAGGCTGGCTTAGAACTATGATTGTCCTGATCTCAGCCTCCTAAGTAGCTAGGGTTATAGATGTAAACCACTGGTGCCCAGTTCATTCTGATTCTTAACTAATGGACTTTCACCAAAGCAGGAATTATGCAAAGTTTATTTGTTCTTGTGTTTGGAAGTAAATCAGGGCCTGCACAGTGCAGCTTTCTCAGGGTCTTTTCCATTGCAGCACACAGAATTTGGAAGGTGTTCACATGCATGAGACTGTCTTAGGCTTCTAGGACTGTTATAACAAAATACCTTTAGACTGGGAAATTTATAAACAAGAGAAGTTTGTTTGTTTGTTTGGGGGCAGGACTGGAGATTGAAATCAGAGCTCCACACTTGCTTGACTAGTGCTCTACCACTTGAGCTCCCAATGAAAGAGCCTCCTTGCTTAAAGTTGTGAAAGAGAAGGTTCAAGATGAAGGCAACAGCAGAGACAGTGTCTCGCAAGGGTCTGCTCTCCACTTCCTCGGTGGTGTCTTGCCTCATCCTCTGGTGGTTGAAGAGGGGACGAATGTAAGGGCATTAATCCTATTCATGCCAGCTCCACCCTCACAACTCAGTCACCCCCAAAGACTCTCAATTCAGTACTGTCACATGGGCCACAGGCTCAACGTATGAATTTGGTGGAGAGGATACAGGCATTCAGACAGTAACAGATCCATTTCCAGGCTTTTGCCAAACACCAGTGCCGGAGAACCCTGTCCCTCTCTCCCACTCAAGAAGGGAGTCTTTCTGTCTCTGACTGCAGTGACATTGTTTTGGGAACTCTGAAGCCAGTATAATTTGTACTTGAACTCCGGTACTCTGTTATGGATTACAAACTTGTAGCATCCTGTTGAAGAACTGCTGAATCTGAAGTTTACACTCTCTTGCCTGAAATGAGGTGCCAAAAAACCAGGGAAAAGGCTCCCAAAGAACAAGAGAGTCAACACCAAGCACCCCTGTGTGTGTGAACAGCCCCAGATGAGTTACAAAACTACAAAGACCTTGAGCTTTCTGTGAGTATATTTTTGGAGAAAGTGAGTTCCAAAAGGAAATGTAAAATGCAGCAGAACGTGGCTTTGTTTACCTTGGAAAATGGTCGATTCTGATTATTTGGCCCAGGTAACTTTGCCACTGCCAACTACGGAGTCAGACAACAAGGGGCGTCTAGACTTTCCAGGTGTGTACGAAGCCGTTAGTGTTTCCACCATGCAAGCTGTCGACTGTGCCATTGTTCTTTCTCTTTTCATCATTTATTTTAGGTGAGAAAGTGTGACTGGGATCCCAGATATCAATTTGGAATTTTTTCCATGCCAGGAGGACATACAATAATGCATTCTATAAATTTTAGACAAATGAATAAATACATGACTTAATAAGAAACCATGTTAAAATTACCACACCATTTCTTTGTCTGTACTTACACTTAACCTGCTGTTAGCAAAATCCCAACTCTGTAAACAAATGGGATGTTACAGACATAAAGTATAATTCGGCAAAATTTATTCAAGGACTTAGATGATTGAAGGCATTAGGGATGTAAAAACGCCTCAGATCCTCTTCAAATCCCAATATTCCCTAACCACCGCTTTAGAAAAAATATTCTGGGGTTTATAGAATTAGCCTGGTTCTGTTAGTTGATCAAGTTACTTACAGTAAGTCAGCAATTCAAAACAAATAATTCCTTCTGTGTGTATTTGTTGCTTGCAAATATGTTTCATTCACTCTGAAGTATCTTTTTAAAGAGAAAGCCAAATTGCTGAAATTTATCTTGTCATTAAAATGGTGTGAACATCAAATCAGTTTTTGTATCTTTCATCCCTGCTGATCGCAAATGACTGACTAATGTTGCTTAGGGCAAGGTTTTGTAAAGTGAAAACTTAAATTTTCAGAAAACAGTTCTATTATTGCATGTTCACCATTTGCTGTTTCCCCAATACGTCTATCAGTGTTTTAAGTTCTGGATTTTCTCTCTGGAGATTCTTTTCTAATTTATCAATGATGTCTTTCCATGAAAACTATATTTTAAAATA